TAAACCTCTTGCTCACCTTGAAAGACCTTTTAGGGTCCGTATGAGTCAGTTCCGACTTGATAGCACATGACTAACTATGAGGACCACAGTTAAATCACTACAAGTAGCGGTGGGAATAGCTGTTGATTATACGTGCACTCCCTTGTCAGGTCTTAACAAGTTCTGGTACTACAGCAATTGTAGTTACCGTACTTGTTGGGATCTGTAAAGTGAAATGGCTATACAGAAGCCCTTAGCACTTTCTGTTCCTAAGGCTGAAAAAGAAACGCATGGGAAGCAGCAGGGGGCAAAATGTGCGCTTGCCCTCTACCAGAAAAGGACACATGCGCACACATGTGTAAATCAATATTATGAAATTAGTTTAGATAGTGCCATACTGTTTTTCTCCAGTTGCCATTCCGAAATCAAACACTCCTAGCTGGATCCTATTACCTCACCAGGGCTTCTTGCAAGTCAGCATTTTCCAGAGTGTGTTAAGTGATTAGCACCCTTCCTGGCATCGTTCTAACAATCACTAACTACTATCGCTTCGTATCTTAAAAGGCAAGTCCTTCACATGAACTGCATCTGGCAAAAATGCTGGGAGTGAAAAAAGATGGTAACCTTTCTAGGGTTCCACTTTTTGGGACACAAAAATTGTCCAGACAACTTGAGTGATCTCTCCAAAGATTTTCTTCCTTGTTGTTTTGCACTTAAATTATGTGAAATAGTTATTTTGCTTCAGAGGCTATATTCCAAGTTTGGCAGCTGAAATGTAACTTAAGATTAGTCAGATTTGTATGTCTAAATAGGAGGAGGGAAAGTCTGTACATAATTCTGATGGCTGCTTTTGAGTGTAGATATTCCTTGTTCCCTATTTATTGAAGAGATATAACTGTAGTTTACAGTATAAGAAAAATGATACAGTGGAACAAGTAAGCATGGGAGAAAAAAAATTAGAACAGCAGATATAAAAGTTTGGCATTACAGTGAGATGGAATGTCAGTGCTTAAATGCACCATTGGAAATAGGAATCAAAGATTAAAAGCCCAGTAAAACATCTAACAACTTAGATTTACCAAATGTTATCACTCTTACCCAGAAAAGGGAAAGAGAGATAGCAAACTCAGCAACAACACACTGGAGAAAGATTTAGGGGCGCTCGTGGGTAACAAACTGCACATGAAATGAGAGAAAGGTTGTAATTGGAAAGGTCGGTATCAGAAAAAAAGAAAAGGGGTTTGAATGGAGAGATGGGGAAAGGACCTCAATGCACACCGTTTGAAGACAGGCCAGTGATTTTCCCCCAATGTGTTGAATCAGTCTGTTTGATGGCTGGGTGGAGAATGTGGTGGGGATCTTTTGTGTATCCTGCTTCAGATTTAAAGGTGGAAGAAAGATAATGGGTGTATTGATTCTATGGGGAAATGATGTGTAGTAATTTCAGTGGACGGGAGTGCGATGCCAGAGTGTCATACCAGTGGTTCTTCCAGTCTGCTGACCAGAGATCTTCTGCTAGAGGTGCCTGGGACAGGAATTTCTACTTGCAAAGCATGTGCTCCACCACTGAGAGATGGCCCTCAGCACATATCTTTTCCCTCTCCTGCAAAAAGTTGCAGAATATGACTAAGCTGTTCTGACCGTATGACCAGTTTCTGTCTTGTTCTCTCCCCTTTTCTTTTTCATAAACATTTTTGGCACTTCATGAAGACAATCCCTTCCCCACAATTCTTGTAGTAACTGAGTGGGCACACTGACATAGCATCTTAAATGATTTGTTTGCGGAGTGCTTATAAACTTGGTACTAGATTGGACAGGTAATCTGTACACTAGTGTCTTTGTGGAGAGTGAAACAATCTGACTCTTATACAGGAGAGAATCTTTGTCCCTAGATGTTCAGGGAGATGTCTTTCAAGTCACTCTACTAATACATTTCTGTTTGAGAACTTAGGTCCTTGTATTGGGAGCAATGTAGGGGAAAAATGAAATAAATGAATTCCAAAATATGCCATTTTGTTCTGAGAGGCCTTGTCCAACCACTAGGCAGAGTAAGATGGCTACCTCAGACACAGGATAAATTTCGATGTGGCGCATGAACATCTCAGGTTGAAACTAAATAGAATATCTTCAGTGGTATGTGCCTCAGCAATCAAATATATACAGTACATCTGATGTTTATACCATTATGTTGACCTTCCAATGACCAGTTGCAAAACAAAGCATGGCTACGTGCAAGATACTGATATGAGGAAACGCATGTTATGACATACAGATGTCTTTCACTACTCAAGGGAGCACGATTTCTAAACACGGGCCAGGCTTTTGGTCTAGTTTGACCTTAAGGAAGCTTGCTGCTTTAAGGTGCAGTGGAAGATAATCTCCCCATGCTACTACTGGAGTCAGTGTCACTTGCTAATCTGGTCAGTTTCTCTAGAGGGAATCATGGTGGTGGCTCTTGGTCTTTGCTTCAGTCAGCCAGACATTTTGATGCTGTTTTGTCCTTTGGAGTACATCTTGTATAGCGACCTGGAGCCAAGATGATTAAATGTTCTTTTTCGGAGGGGAGAGAATTTTGATTTTTTTGGGTTTGAAGCTTCCTTTTCCTGCCCCCCACCCCCAAGAACATGGGCAATGTACTGTATAAAACAAGATGTGCTTGAAATACATACTGTGCAACATTACATCCATAGACTATGCTGCTCTGCTCAGAAGTGTTTTCTCTATACTTCAAACTATGTCAAGTGTTCCAAAAGCAAAATTTAAAAAAAGGCACTGGAGGCATGGAGTTTAAAAGTCATAGCATGTTGCAGAATTCTTTTCACAGTCCAGGGAAGATCCCATGGGAGTAGTTCAGAGGCAAAGCTGCACAGTATATAGCACTAAAATCTGAAGAGTTGCACCCTGGGAAGCTTATTCATTGTAAAATGTGCCTGAGTTGGCATGGCTCCTATCTTCAACAGCAAATCCACGCTGATCCTGGTAACTAACCTAGGAGGCAAGATGCTCTTTAGCCAAACCAAACTGAACATTTATTCTTAGTTTTCGCTCAGTATAAAATGAAGGGGGTGAGGATGGAGAGAATGAGGATTTAATTCTTTATGCAAAAAGAGCTAAGTGACATCACACTGTGAGATAGAAATTGCAAAAGCCTTGGTTCTTACTCCTCACTCATTTGCTGTAGGATTATAGACTGATTATATTCCTTGTCTTGGCAAAATCTGAACACACTGACACCATTTCACAGTCATATAAAACATTATGGCTGTCACTTTAATCCATGGGATATTCATCAGTCTTTTGGTGGAAATGTACTTGGCATTGATATGTTTTGTTGTGAGCTTTCTTTCTCTTGATTTTTAAAAACATATTAAGACTGCAGTATTGTGTGTGTGCACCTGGGAGTAAGTACTGGAGATCTCAGTGGGAATTCAGAGTTGACATCTGTGCTATAATGAACAAATGCTATGTTTGCTTGTGAGGATTCCTCTTTAATAAAATAATGGGAATATGCTAGCATTGGTTGTCGTATCAGTGAAAGCATTGCTGAATAGGATCTGAGTATCTTAGTCTTCAGCCTCTGTATTGGTTCCAAAAATTTATTTGTGGGTCTTTCAGAAATTAATGAAATCTTTCATGGTTAGGCATTTTCACTCAAGGGGGATTAGTTTCAACTGTAAACCAGGCCTGAGATATAATGGCAAAGCTATCTGAGTAGCTGGCAGAATTGTTTCTCCATGGCTCCACCTACTACTAGCTATCTTCCCAATTCCTACATGTCATTGATATCCAGTGTACACTCCCTACCTTTTGTTTTACTCAGGTGAAGAAGTAAGAAAAATCATAGTAGAAGTTCAGGATCACAAGTTTCCCACCACTCAATTTCTGCAACAGAATCCATGAATGGTGCCTCTTTTTTCAGTTTGGAACCTTGCAACATATGGGCAGTTTGCATTACAGTGGTGCCTCACTTGACGATGTTAATCCGTTCCAGCGAAATCGCTGTAGAGCAAAATTGTCCTCAAGTGGTAAAAAAACCATTGAAACGCATTGAAAACTGCCCAATGCATTCCAGTGGGCTAAATACCTAATCGTCCAGTGAAGATCCTCCATAGGGCAGCCATTTTCCGGTGCCTCTCTTGCGAAAAATCCATCCTAAAAACAGCGGGGAGCCATTTTGCACAGCAGGCGGCCATTTTGAGAGACACCAATCAGCTGTTTTCAGACTGTTAAGTGAAAAATCGGTTCCCGAAGCAGGGAACCGATCATCGTTAAGCGAATTTTACCCATTAAAACATCGTTTTTGCGATCACAAAAAGCTTATCATCAAGCGGATTCATAGTTTAACAAAGTAATTGTTAAGCGAGGCACCACTGTACCTGTATACTTTATCTCCAGACCATGGTGGAGAGCACTTGCCACACATGTTGCTGGAATGCAAGTCGGTGTGGGCTACCCCCTCTGTCTGCTCCACCCAGTTGTTAGCACTAACCAGCATAGATAACAGCTAGAAATTATTGGAATTGCAGTTTGATCACATGTTCTGGGCAATAGTTTCAGCATTGCTGCTCTAGACCTTAGTTCAAAATCAGTTTTCTTATACAGAAATCTGATGTTGCCGTAAGAAAAGATTTGTAAACTTGTTAGAACTACTCCTGGAGATGGCATTAGTGTGCTTGTGGGAAATTACGGGAGATGGCATTAGTGTGCTTGTGGGAAATCACGCCAGATATACCAGTGGAAAGTGCATTGCTGCCATGTGTCCTAACCATTGTTCTTTCTAGTGATTGTTGTGAGCTATTGATCTGGGACCCTCTACCCTGGTATATTTCTGAACCGCTGAGTATTACACTTCTGTGTTATGCTGCACACTGCCTTTTTTCCTGCTAAAGTCAAAATATGTTGCCTGAACAAATGCCAATGTTGATAAACTTTCTTTCATTCCACAGAAACTGAAACAGAAGAATCAACAGCTGAAGCAAATCATGGATCAATTACGGAATCTCATTTGGGACATAAATGCCATGTTGGCAATGAGAAACTGAAATATGCTTTCTCTCTTTCTCATTACGGCAGTTGAGTTTATTTGTTAAGAGGAAAAAAATAACTTGTTAGAATGCATCCTTTTTTATGCCCTGCCACTTGTGTACAGCTATGTTTGTATAAAAACGAGTGTTCAGATTCTTGAAATTTGGTCAATTATGATTATGAATATGGCAAGTTTGGCAAGTTTTATATAATAAAAGAATTCAGTACAGTTTTAAGCTTTGTTTTTCAAACTAGGACGGGCAACTTGTACTGATCTTCTGACAACATTTATCTTAAATCATCTCCCCAACACCATACTAAAGGACTTCTATTTAGAAAGAAAAAAAATCTATGCAAGTAGTCTAGACAGAGAACAGGAAATATCTGTGCCGTCTTGATGCTGGTTAAGGCAAATAAAGAAACAGACACCAAAAACATACTGATCACAATGCTCATGCTCTTAATCTACTTGTGATTCTGTGGTCCCAAAATCAGAAGCTGATTTGGAAAAAGAGAAGCATCTTCTCTTGCTCTGTGTTTTTGCACTTCAAAGGGAACCTGCTCCAGTGAGCTACTCTACCTACATCAGGATGTTCCTGTAACTTCTATTCTCAGAGCTCACTACTGGAGTTAATAATATGTCGCTCTGAAAGTCATTTTCTATATCTGTATTCCTCTTCATTGGGTTGCCACAGTTTATATGTACTTGTATATAAACCTCTTGTTAACTGTTTCACTTCATGCACCAAGTGGGTTATAATCCACAAAAGCTAAAACTGAAATAAATTTGTTAGTTTTCAAGGTACGTACCACAATACTTGTGTTTTTAGTTTCATTTATATCTTTGTTTTGTTTTTGAAAGTACATTCTGGCAGCACCTTTGAGGAGGAAAAACTTAAAGCTTGAAATATACTGAAGCATTCATTTTTCCCCAAGAAAAACCACGACCACTTAATTATCTATATATCACCTTTTCTTCCTGCTACTGTTACAAACTGGCACAGCTTGCTTTCTGCAAAGCAACAAGAAATGTTCTCTGTTTAGGATGGTTAAACCAAGACAGCTGGAGTTTGTTCGCACCCACCCAAGGATGAAGATATGCAAGACTTGAGATCCGGTTGGATAGTTTAGGTGTGAAACAGTCATTCATTGCGACTGCTGTGGGTTCTAAGACACTAAGCAGCAAAGAGTCAGTGTACATACATCCTTTCAGGGTGAAGATTCCATGTGGATGTCCTCTCACGAATAAACTTTAATCTCTAGGGTTCTTGTATAATGGAGGAGCGAGGAACATTCTTGGCTGAATCTCTAGGGTTCTTGTATAATGGAGGAGTGAGGAACATTCTTGGCTTGCAGATGCTTGCTGCTACAGGTCCACCATCTTAGGCCATTGGTGAAATTCACTGTAATATTTAGGATGTGAAGTTCAAAAAATATGAAGGGCCTACCCATGGGTCTAAACCCATGACTTGGTGTCTTTGTCTACAACAGGCCCATAGAGTTGTGGTAGTGCAGCCATAGCCTAAGAAATAAAACAGATAATCACTTGTGACAAAACACTCATGTGGATCTGAGCTGCATTGGGTAACATTTCTTGACTGACCAGTTAAAAAAAGTTGGGAGGTGGCAGATGAATTCTTTGTCCTGTTTGCAAGTGAAATATATACAGATCAAACTAGATGGAATGTCTTGGGGTGCTATGGGAAGCTAAACAAACCCAATGACAATTTTATACTGTCCTAGGCAACTAGAAAAAGAATGAAATAGTGGAGGAAAATAGATGATTGCTTTTTAAATGACCATTAGTCGTCTGCTTTATCCTATGAATGTTTACTCAGAAGTAAATGTCACTGAGTTTAGAGATTTATTCCTGGTTATAGGATTTCAGCTTCCTATAGTTATGCATAAGATTTCAACTGTTTCTAAACAGAATGTGAAAAAACATCATCTAGGGTATAACCCTAGATTGTAATAAAACAGTATCACCGCTGCAGTCAGCTGCAATTTTTTGGATTTATAGCAGCATAACTGGGAACATAGTTTGATTTCATTTGTTTATTCATAAGGCACATATCTTGCCAGGTATAGAGAAATGGTCAGTGAATTTCCACAGTCGTTCTGTGTTTTTAAATGCTAACAGGATGTGTTTGCATAAAGGCCCTACATGTTTGGTTTGTAGAAGAAATAACTGGTAGATGCCGTAGCTCTGCTTATGAGACTTTTCTCACTTTTTGTCCCAATGGCTGAAATCCTGTTCTGCAACTTTAGGCCGTGTAAGGCTGATGATGTCATCAGCTCTAGTGGTTTCTCAGAAATTAAAAATGTCAAATCTTCCCTCTCCCCAAAGATTCCAAGGCTTCTATGGGATTGCTTTCATTGTATGGAAGCTGTTGGGGACTATACGCCAGGTGGAGTCTCTTAGTTCACAAAACTGCCATGGGTGGGATGGTTTTCGTGTGTGTGTGTGTGAATAATTTTTATTTTTTTAAAAAAAAAGTGGCTGATGACATTTAGCCTTACACAGAGTAAAGTTGTGCTGCAGGATTGCAGCCAAGATGTTACAAGAGTTTGGTACCAAAGGAGAAGTGGCCTGTAGCTAAAAATAATAGACTTGTTGGGAGTTCTGCCCCTGAAGCTTTCTTTCTAGAAACCATCCCCTACCCCAAATCAGCACAAACTCTGTATGTGGCATGCAGCTAAAAACTGGAGACAGTTTACAGATCACAAAGATGTAGAATACTCACCTTAGTGGTCTAATTGTGCATGGATTCTGGAGTACAAGAACTACTTGATTTGTACTTGTATTTTTTTTTTATTTAGTAATTAAGTATCATTTGTGGGCCACATTTTTACTGATGAGGAAACCCAAGGTAGCTCACAACGTTAAATGTCTTGGGACTTGAAGATAAATGTTTATTGGTGACTTTTGGCCCGTCATGGTCTCTTAGTCTAGTCTACCTGACAAGACTATTTTGAAAGTGAAATACAGTGGTGCCTCGCTTAACAATGTTAATTGGTTCCATAAAAAAATCGTTATGTGAAATGGCAACAGAGAATTAATCTGCTTCAAAACCAGGCAACAGTACAACTAACAACCAGCAAACAAGCCCAAGAAAATCTCACAAGAATGTACATCTTTAACTAAATAAACACAGTAAATTAATCAAATAAATGATTATTTTTACAAATCCATCAAACAGGGAAAGTACCACACAAACATAAACACATGGGAAAAACAACAAAATGAAATACAGTGGTGCCTCGCTTAACAATGTTAATTGGTTCCATTAAAAAATCGTTATGTGAAAACATCGTTAGGTGAAACACCATTTCCCATAGGAATGCATTGAAAACCGGTTAATCCGTTCCAATTGGAACAGATTAATGCTTGCAATCATTAGCCCACCTCCTGAAACCTATGCAAACTTAATTTGGTGTTGTTCTGAGTCGTCGTTAATTTTTGGTGATTTTTTTCTCTCTCTCATTGAAAAGCATTGGACATCGTTAAGTGAAATTCCCCCACAGAGAACATCGTTAAACAATGGGGGAAATTCCTCAAAGAAACCCATTGCTGTGTGAATACATCGTTGTATGAAGCAATCGTTGTGCGAGGCACCACTGTAAATTTCTTGAAGGAGTATCAAGAGACTTCAAAAGCAGGAGGTTGGATCAGGAAGCCACAGAGAGGGTGTTTTTGGTCCATCAGAAGATGATGTTAGTATACTAGGTCAGTAAGCGATCTCCCTCCAAGTGGTATAGGGAATCTTCTCAAAATATTCCTATGGAAAAAGGCCAGAACATTTTTTTGGCAGAGGGAGTTTTAGTTTCTGCACTGCAGCAGGCAAAATCTCCTTGGACATGGCACCTGAGAGTTTCTGGGAGCTTTCCAACAAAATAAAGGAAGGTTTCCAAGTTCTAGAAAAGATTTCATATCGTTCAGAGAACTCTACCCTGTGATGTGGATGTTGAGTGGCAAGTCAATCCCCATGTGATGATGATGACGTCCTTCACCACTCAAGCTTTTAATATAGGTGTGTTGAAACAGACTTTTTGCATCTGATTCCTGCTTCAGTTGAGATGACTAATTATTTGATGATTAAATCTAGCTGAGTGTTGGTCTTCAGCTGTCTGATGGAGATCTGCAGGATCCCATGCCAATATAAAGTGGTTAAAACCCTGTCCTTTCCCCCAATCTTTAATGGGTTAATGTAGGAAGAGAGAGGGGGAGACAACAAGACTATGAAGCTCTCAACTGGAGGTGCCAGTGATTGAGCCCGACATATTCTATATGTAAAGCATGTAGAGACAGGGCAGTGTAGTGACTAAATCATTTGACAGACTGGAGATAAGCTGGCTCAGTTCCCCCTATGGGTCTGTGAAACTCTTTTGAATCCTTAGGCCAGTTGCTGTCAGCCTAATCATAGAGTTATTCTAAGAAGAACGGTGTGAACACCACATTTTGCTCCTTGGAGAATGTTGGAATTTAGATGTAGCAAATGGAGAAATATGAGTTTTACTCCCCGGAACATGTCATCTCCCCCAGAGACAGAGGGAGAGAAGAGAGATAATGCAGGGGAATTTGGGGCATGTGGAGTGGGGGAGAATGTGAGTTCCACATAATCAGGGATCAAAAGTAGTCTCAGATCTGAAAAGGTCGAAAACTCCTGTCAAATTGTTGGCTTTGAAGACAAGGAAGAAATAAAAATTCAAAGTAATTAACGGCACTTTCAGAGCATTTTGTCCTCTGCATCATTGTCTAGTCAGATCTACAAAGTCATTACAAGATAGAAATTAGCTTCAGTGATGGTCACTAGGATACTGTCAATGTTGTGCAGTTTAATTTTAAAATCTAAAATGGGTTTTGCTGCTTGTCTCTTGTGCTATTAACTTCACTGTCATCACAACAAAGCCATCACTCTCAATATGTCCCAATTCATTTCTTCTATAGAACTAGCCTTTAGCACTTAGTGTATGTAGACTTTGAAATTACTTGCTTTCTGGACTGAATAATGGTAAGGTGCCAGGCTCGGCAGATGGTAATTTCTATAAACATCTAGGCTGCCTTTCATACAATGGGTTGTGGCTGCTTTTCATTTCATACCAAGAAACCTACATATTAGGCTAACAATGTGCTAGACACTTCTTTATGATAAGAAAAAAGCATAAAACTGCACTTTCCAAAGACTTTGCTATGTTAAAAATACAGGACTAAGATACAATAAACTAAAATATGAAAGTTGCTTTCAAAAAGTAGTTTATTCTAGTTTTGAGACCTCAAAAGATAGATAAGCATTATGGTTACTCTGGCCGGAATCCTATTAGTAGTTGCAAATGTTTTGCATAACTTGTAGCAGCTATTTGCAGTGAATTGATGAGATGCTGAGATGCATCTTCATTGCCTTATCAGGTACATGACCAGAAATGTAGGCATCCACTTCATCAATTGGGCATAATTTGCTGCCACAAGTTATGCAAAATGAATCCAATAGAATTCTGGCCATTGTTCAAAAATACGTAACTCAAAAACAGTTAAAATAGTTACTTTTTAAAAATGGGATGCTATATGCTTGTGTGCAAAACTTCTTTCTACCCTCTGTTTCATCATAATCTGAACACTGGCAACAGAGCATAAAGCAGCAGCATAAGCTGGAAGTCTAGCTTCCACATTTTAGTGAGATCACAGCCTTCCCCCCACACTAGAAGCATAATGTAAGTTATATCACAGAAAGTTATAAGTAATGTAATATAGCTTCATTGTTTGGAACAAGTAACTAGGTGTCACTGGTCAGTTGTAACTGATTCCTTTTCCCAGTAA